TGGGTTCTTCTCCTGGGCCTGGTGAGAATTTCCAGAGGAAATCCAGCCTGGCCACCTTGGGCTCTTCTCCCCAGTTGGGTTCTTCTCCCAAGGCCACCTTGGGTTCCTCTCCTGTTCCTCAGCTCCAATCCCAGCCAGGCTCCCACTCCAAACCTGTCCTGCCTCCAATCCCACCTGGATGGAAAAGCACCAACCCCTGATGGCCACTTCCATCCCAATTTTTGTCACACTCACTCCTTTCCATCTCTTTCTCTTCAAAAATCTATCAAATATTATTGCTGAATGCATTTCTGATTAACTCTCTCTCTCTCTGAAAATAAAAAATATCACTTGATTAAAAAGCAATTTCTGTGTTTCCCAAAGCCAGAAATTATTTCCCTGGGCACTCTCAGCTGGGAAATGGTGGAGATTTTTTTTTTTTTTAACCATGGAATTGGATCTTCCATTAATTTCTCTCTTTTTTCCCCCTTGTTATATTATAGATTTAATTGAGGCTTCAGATATTATTGTCTGTGTTGTAGGACTGGTGAATTATTAACAAGAGCAATTTTGTGAAATGTTCAGAGGGAAATTGAGAGTGAAAAGCAGTTCAGAGTTGGGATTTGGTTTTGGGTTTTTTTTAATAAAATATGGTTGAGTCACAATTATTTGATTTGCAACTGGATTTAAACAACCCAGCCAGGAGTCATCAGCAAAAATGAGAATTATTGAGAGCCAGCTGAAGGGGCAAGAAGTGAGGGAGGATTTGGGTTTTCACAAGACAAAAAAAAAAATCCAGAATTAACGTTTGTCCCAATTAATTTTCGTTGCCTTCTGCTTCCAGAGCCCTTTCCCTGCACAAAAAAATGGAATTTTGTCCCAGTTTAGAGCCATGGAAGAGCCCAAATTTTCCCTTGTTGCCAAAGTTTTTGTTGATTAAATTGGATTAATTGCAGCAAGCAGCTCAGGGTGAGTAATTCAGATTCAGGGAGCCTCAAATTCCAAAGTTTTTTAGGAAGCACTGTCCATGGAGCTGGGTCCTCAAGGAGCTCCTCCAAGATTTCCAAGGTGGATTTGGGCAGCCCTGGGGCACAGAGCCAAAACTGAAAAATTTGGGTTTTTTTGGCCACAGTGAGGTGAGGTGAGTGCTGGACTGCACTGAAAAACCACCCAGAATTCTGCAGCAAACCATGGGATCATGGGATCTTAAATCCCATCCCTAAAAAAAATCCCATCCCTAAAAAAAAATCCCATCCCTTCCAAAAGTCTCATCCCTTTAAAAATCCCCTCCCTTCCAAAAATCCCCTTCCTCAAAAATCCCATCCCTAAAAAAAATCCCTTCCAAAAATCCCATCCCTAAAAAAATCCCATTCCTTCCAAAAATCCCATCCCTTCCAAAAATCCCATCCCTAAAAAAAACCCATTCCTTAAAAAAATCCCATCCCTTCTAAAAATCCAGCCAGGAATTCCCAATTCCCAGGATCCCACCCCTCCATTCCCTGGAGGTGTCCTTGGATGTGATTTGGGGTCTCCTCCTGACCCCCCCTTAGCCAGGCTGAGTCTTTCCTATTTTCCCCTCATTTTAAAGAAGAATGTTGAGTTGTTAGGTTGGATATTCATGGAAAATTTCCTCCTGGGAAAGGTTGGAGCAGTGGGGTCCCCATCCCTTCAGAGCTGTGTGGATGTGGCCCTTGGGGACATCCCTGAGTGGTGGCCTTGGCACTGCTGGGAATATTGGATGATGTCAGAGGGGCTTTTCCAACCTAAACAATTCCATGATTCCATTCCTTTTCCAGCCACCAGCACAGCATGAAATGACAAACAAACCCAGGAGCCTTTGAAGAGGAAACAAATTTATTTCACTTTAAAATAAAATAAAAAAAAAACCCCAAACCCCACCCTGAACCCAACCAGCCACCCCAAAACCCATCGGGCTCCTCCCCTTTTCCCACCTCTGCTAAAAAATAGGTGCTCTGATCTCTACACAATCATTAAAACCAAATTAATTAGCAGCCCCCAGCCTGGAGGGGGAGCCTGGATTTAATTAATTTGGGCTAACAAGGCCCCCTCTGCCTGGGCCTCCCCTCCTCTGTCCTCCAGCAGGAAGGGAATTGCTGCCCATAAATATTCCAAACACGCTGATCACGCCAGGAAGTTAAAATAAAATAAAATTAAAAAAAAAAAAAAATCCCCCTGACAGTAACAAAGAACCCAGGGTTGATGTGTTGGGAGTGAAAAGCACATGGTTAAAAAAAAGGGGGAATGCCCAAATCCCCCAAATATTCCCGTGTCCCATGGGAATTGGGGAGAAGGAGTGACCCAGAGTAGGAGCAGAATGGGAGAGCTCTGTGCCAGCTCTGCTCAATCCCTGGATCCCACAATCCCTGGATAAAACAATGCCTGGATCCCACAATCCTTGGATCCTACAATGCCTGGATAAAACAATCCCTAGATCCTACAATCTCTGGGTTCTGCAATCCCTGGATCCAACAATCCCTGGATNCCTAGATCCTACAATCTCTGGGTTCTGCAATCCCTGGATCCAACAATCCCTGGATCCCAAAATCCCTGGATCCTACAACTCTTGGATAAAACAATCCCTGGATCCTACAATGCCTGGATCCCACAATCTCTGGGTCCTGCAATCCCTGGATCTCATAATCCCTAAATCCCACAATCCTTGGACAGAACAATCCCTGGATCCCACAATTTCTGGATAAAACAATCCCTGGATAAAACCCCCACAGACCTTGAGTTATGGCTCTGGTGTTTCCCCACCGTGTTTGATGTCTGAAGAACCTCACCCTGTTCCTAAAATCCTTCATCCCAAATTTCTGTTGGCTTCCTCAGCTCCCCAATCCCAGCTGAAATTCCATTTGAAGATGAAAATCAGGGATCAAGGTTTTGCCTCTCTCTGGGTCTTTCCTGGAGCCACCACAAACAGCTGGAACAACACCTGGCCTACACCAGGTCAGCCTCCCCATCTACAAAATCCCTGGAAAAATCCCATGGAACTTGAAATTCAGCTTTTCCAGGCTCAGGAAAAATGAAAACTGGGGGGGGAAAAAAAAAAAAAAAAAAAAATCCTTCAGGACGTCGGGATGGAGCTGCAGGTCCTGGCAGCACCACCCTGGCTCTGCCTGGGATGGAATTCCCTTTTCCCACACTGGGATTTGGGGTTGGGGTTAAAGCAGTGCTCCCAGCACAGCAGGGAGCCTTCCCCTTTTCCCTTTTCCCTGGGAAGGGGATGATCCCAGACAGATGATAAAAATCAGCAGTAAAAAACAGAAGGAAGAAGTTTTGGAAAGGTGACTTGGCTCAGGGAATGCCTGGGTGGGAGGTTTTGCTTTTCCATCACGTTGGGATTTTTTTTTTTTTTTTCCATAATTTTTCCTTTATCCTTTCTTGGATTCCTCAACTGTCCCAGGGACAGCAGCACCCTCATGGGAACAAAGGGCTGCTCCAGGAAAATTCCAGGAAAATTCCAGGAAAATCAGCCAGGGGTGACACTGAGGGACAGGGAGCCTGTGCCAGGCTGGCACAAAAGCCAAGATCCCAAGGGATGGGAGGAGAACTGGGAAAGGGAGGATAAACCACTGGCAGCTCCAGCTGGGGCTGTATCCAACATTCTCCTCCCAGCACAGGGATTCCCACTGGAATGGGGCTCAAATTAAAAAAAAAAAAAAGAGGAAAACTTGGAAGCAAAAGGGGTCACATTAAAAAAAAAAAAAAAAAAGCCGACTCACACAAAATAACCAGATTGGATCACGGAGGAACATTCCCCAAGTTCCCAGGAGAGGATCCTCTTTTTCCCAGGATCTTGGCACAGCCAACACCTCCCCCCTGTTATAAAAACACCCCCTGGAGTTGGGGAGGGGAGGAGGGGGAAATCCCTGCTGCTCTCTGCTTTGAAAAAAAAAAACAAAAAAAAAAAAATTCCCTGGATTCACTCCTCCTTCAGCCTCCTCCTCTGGCACAGGGCCAGGAAGGGCCCCAGGCTGTTCCACACCTCGGTGTACATCAGCGTGCCCACGAAGACAAAGGCAGTGCCCAGCCAGTGCCAGGCTGTGAAGGGGTTCTGGAAGTAGAGGATGGAGAAGATGAGGCTGACGAATTTCCGCAGAGTCACCACCAGGGTGACGGTGAGGGACGAGCACTCCGTGGTCAGGATGAACACGCCCCGGATGCACACGTACCTGGGAGCAGCAGGTTAAGGGACAGCAGGGATGGGGATTGGGAATTGATTCCTTTTGGGAATGGGATGGAGCAGGGAAATGGGCAGCCTGGTGTGGATATGGGGGAAATTCCCTCCTGGGATCAGGGTTAGAACAGGGTGCTCCGAAATCAAGGAGACCCCAAATCTCAGATTCCCCCATTGTGTGGGCAAAGGGTGACAATCCCTGCCACAGAGCCAAGGGAAGCTCCAAACTCCTCCATTTCCATGGATCAGAAATCCCAAAATCCCAGAACAAACCAGGCTGGAAAAGACCTTTGAGATCATCGAGTCCAACCTAAAAACCCCAAGTTCCCTTTCCCTGTATTTTTGGAGTTACACCAACAGCAGCTCCCGAGGGCAGGGAATGCTCTGAGGATTCAGCTCCTCCTGGGAGCAGCAGGTTAAGGGACAGCAGGGATGGGGATTGGGAATTGATTCCTTTCGGGAATGGGATGGAGCAGGGACATGGGCAGCCTGGTGTGCAAATTCCCTCCTGGGATCAGGGCTGGAACAGGGTGCTCTGAAATCAAGGAAACCCCAAATCTGATTCCCCCACTGGAGCAGCTGGGGCTGAGTGGGACAATGGAAGCTCCAAACTCTTCCCTTTCATGGATCAGAAATCCCAAAATCCCAGAACAAACCAGGCTGGAAAAGATCTTTGATATCATCGAGTCCAACCTAAAAACCCCAAGTTCCCTTTCCCTGTATTTTTGGAGTTACACCAACAGCAGCTCCCGAGGGCAGGGAATGCTCTGAGGATTCAGGAAGCCAGCCCCAAAGCTGTGCCAGCCCAGTGGGATAAAGGATAAAGGACAAAGGACAAAGGATACTGGGTGATGACGTTCATGAGGAGGTAGAACCACATGATGGGCAGGGTCAGGCCGATCACTGGCACCTGGAACAGCTCTGCAGGGAATAAAGGATGGGATGAGGTCACTGCTGGAGGAATCTCCCTCCTCCCCACCTCTAACCATGATCCAGGACTCCCTGCAGCCCTTCTGCTTGGAATTCCAGATGGAAAATAAGAAAAAATTCAGAAAAATGTTAGCAGAAAAGCTCTGTCTTCCTCTCCCGTGCTGGAGGAATCCACTCTGTTCCCGTGGCAAATCCTGAGGAGCATCAGCCAAAAAAAAAAAAAAAAAAAAAAAATCCCATTTTTTTACATCCCTCATTGAGGATTAAAGTCCTGGTACTCTCATTTTTGAGCCACCACGTTCCTTTTCCCAGGAATCACTCTTGGATGTGGCTGGTGTGTGGGAATTAGTGAGAAATTTGGGCTTTAATCATGGAATGGTTCCTTAAATTCCACCCCCTGCTATGGGGCAGGAACATCTCCCACTGTCCCAGGCTGCTCCAAACCTTTTCCAACCTGACCTTGGACAATTCAGGGATCCAGGAACAGCCACAGCTTCTCTGGGAATTCCATCCCAGCCAGGAATTCCTCCCTGCAAATTCCTCGAAATTCAAAACGCTCGGAACAACCTGAGATGGCAGCACGAACAACTTGCAGCAAAGAAACTTCCCAGAGGGATTTTCCAGAGAAAAGGAGAATTCCAGGAGCACAGCACTCACCAGACTGGTTGAAGAGCACAGCGTGCTGGTAAATGTTGGGAGCCAGGAGCAGGAATCCAGGGAGTGGCAACGCATGCTGGGGGGGGGGAGGAAAAAAAACAAATCCATGGTGGGAGCAGGGAATGGGAATCCAACCCAATTCCCTGCTGGAGCAGAGCAGGCTCCTCCCTGCTCCATCCTGGGATCGTTTTTGTGCCCAATCCAGGAGGGGAAAGGGGCTTTGGAGCAGGGAAAAGCTCCCCAGGGACTCACGTTGTAGAACAGGGCCTCCTTGGAGTGCTTCCCGAATTTCTGGTACAGTGTCTCCTGGAAAATGCCCATCCTGGCAGACATCAGCAGGGCAAAAGTGAGGGCAGCAATACCTGCAAGGGAAGCACAGCCCTGCAGCTTCGACTCAGCCCCATCTGGCTTTCAAGGTTAAAAAAATTAAAAAATTAAAAAATTAAAATAGCCAGACTTGCTATGAAATCTGATAATGAATGCGGGGTTTGATGACAGGCCGAGATCTTACAAATGGCAGGGATGAAATCTGTGCCACTACTGCCAATAATCAATCCCACATTTCCCAAAAATCCACCAACAGGAGGCAGAAAAAACAGACTTTAAAGCCTCCTCTGTGCTGAAGGATCACCAGCCCCTCTCCTCTCCAAGCTTTTGCCAGGAGAATTCCAAGATTCCTGCCAGTATCCCAGAAATGTGGCCCCCCACGTACCCAGCAACCACCAGAGGAAAGCCTGGGGTCCATCCTCTTGATTTAAGCTGGACTCAGAAGCCTGAAGGGAGACACAAGAGTCACCAAGAGCCACCAGGTCCCTGCAGCTGCCCCAGCACTCCCACCCTGCTCCAGGGAATGCAGGGATTCCAGAAAAAATAAAAAAAAAAAAAAGTGGCAGAGTCAGATCGAATCAGGATTTCTCCTGAAAGCAACGGCCTTTAAGCACAAAAATCATCAGTGGCACTGCAAGATCTCAAAGCCAGCCCATTCCAGGTCCCTGTGTCCCCATCCCATTCCCAGGTCCCTGTGACCCCATCCCATTCCCAGGTCCCTGTGACCCCATCCCATTCCCAGGACCCTGTGTCCCCATCCCATTCCCAGGTCCCTGTGTCCCCATTCCCAGGACCCTGTGACCCCCAATCCCATTTCCAGGTTCCTGTGTCCCCAGTCCCAGGCTCCTTTGTCCTCAATCCCATTCCCATATTCTTGTGTCCCCATTCCCAGGTCCTTGTGTCCCCAATCCCATTCCCAGGTCCCTGTGTCCCCGTTCCATTTCCAGTTCTCTGTGTCCCCATTCCCATTTTCCTGTGTCCCCAATCCCAGGTCCCTGTGCCCCAATCCCCAGGTCCCTGTGTCCCCATGCCATTCCCATATTCCTGTGACCCCATTCCCAGGTCCCTGTGTCCCCAATCCCATTCCCAAGTTCCTGTATCCCCAATCCCCAGGTCCCTGTGTCCCCAGTCCCATATTCCTGTGTCCCCAGTCCCATATTCCTGTGTCCCCCATTCCCAGGTCCCTGTGTCCCCCATTCCCAATCCCAGGCTCCTGTGTCCCCCATTCCCATGTTCCTGTGTCCCCAATCCCATTCCCAGGTCCCCGTGTCCCCCATTCCCATGTTCCTATCCCAGAGATGAATGTGTAGAAAGGAATAAAAGCTCTGACCAAGCCCCAGTCAGGAGCTAAAACCAGTCCTAAACCCAGGCTTATTGTCAAAAAACTGAGAAAAATCAGGCTGAGGCCACAACTCCAGCTTGCCCTGCCTCCCTGTGCTTCAGGAAAAATCAAATTATTCCCCTTTGCCCCAGCTGCCAGCTCCATCCCAAAATTCCAGCCCTGCTGGGAGCTGATCTGGATCAACAGAGAGGCAGAGATTTATTACCAGCAAAAAGCAACTCCTATCTTTTTTTTTAATGTTTTTGTATGTCTGTTTTGTTGTTATAAAAGTTAGGAGAGGGAAATCTTATTCTGAATTTTTTTCCCCTTCTTTGTGTAGTTAATAAATTTCTTTCTATGCCCTTTTAAAGGAGATACTTGGAATTAGTGAAGTAAGAATTGGTTTTTTTTAGATGGAAGGAAAATGAGAAAATGTAAAAGTTGGTTGAAATTTTTTTTTTGTGATGTTGCAGAGATGGATTCGTGTCGTACTGAAAATTTTTTATAAATTGTGGAAAAAAAAATTATATGGGAGGTTGAAATATCTCCTTTTAGTTTCCTACACCCTTTCAAGTTTTAGGCCTGCCTTATTTCTGTTCCTGGTTCTGTCTCACAACAGAAAATAAATATATTTAAATGAACAAATCAAAATTACACTAAATGTGAACAGACACCTGCAATGAAATTAAACCCACGTTATCTGTGCATCCAAACCAGGAGGAAAAATTAAAACCAGCAGGAAGGAGACACCTCATGGGGGAAAAAAAAATTTAAAAAAAATTAAAAAAAAAATCAGGGAATTCCTGAGGCTCCCAGGAGTGACTTTAACCCTTAACCCATTCCTTACCACTTGCTTTGCAGACATGAAGGTGCAGGTGAAGATGCCCAGGGACACCAGGGCGATGGAGGTGAACTTGGACACGCTGTACCTGCAGGGGGACAAGGGACACACGTGTCACCAACCTGGGCCAAGGGGCAGCTGCCACTGCCCAGCCCTGCCAGGGCCAGCTGGACACAGCCCAGCACCTGCAGCAGCTGTTCCCACGGGATTTAGCCCAGTTTATCCCGGGATTCAGCCCCAGTTCCTCCAATTATTTATCCCAGTTTCTCCCAATACCTACCCCAGTTCCTCCAATTATTAATCTCAGTTTATCCCAATATTCATCCCAGTTCCTCCCAACATTGATCCTAATATTCTCCCAACATTTACCCCAGTTTCTCCCAACCCTTACCCCAGTTTATCCCATCATTTATCCCAGTTTCTCCCAGTACCTACCCCAGGTCCTCCAATTCTTTATCCCAGTTTCTCCCAACATTCATCCCAGTTCCTCCAATTATTTATCCCAGTTTCTCCCAACATTTACCCCAGTTTATCCCAACATTCATCCCAGTTTATCCCATCATTTATCCCAATTCATCTCACAGCTCCAGCCTTGTCTCTGGGCAGGCACAGCTCAGTGCCAGCCACAACAGCAGCGTTTTCAGCCTCTTATCAACCTGTTATTATCAGCCTGTGATCAGCCTGTTGTGATCAGCCTGTTGTCATCAGCCTGTTGTCATCAGCCTGTTGTGATCAGCCTGCTGTGCTCAGCCTGCTGTGATCAGCCTGTTGTGATCAGCCTGTTGTGATCAGCCTGTGATCAATCTGTGATCAGCCTGTTGTGATCAGCCTGTGATCAATCTGTGATCAGCCTGTTGTCATCAGCCTGCTGTGATCAGCCTGTTGTGATCAGTCTGTGATCAGCCTGTTGTGATCAATCTGTGATCAGCCTGTTGTGCTCAGCCTGTTGTCATCAGCCTGTTGTGATCAGCCTGTGATCAATCTGTGATCAGCCTGTTGTGATCAGCCTGTTGTGATCAGCCTGTTGTGATCAGCCTGTTGTGATCAATCTGTGATCAGCCTGTTGTGATCAGCCTGCTGTGATCAGACTGTTGTGATCAGCCTGTTGTGATCAGCCTGCTGTGATCAGCCTGTTGTCATCAGCCTGTGATCAATCTGTGATCAGCCTGTTGTGATCAGCCCTGCTGGAGCCACAATCCCAGCAGAAGGGAGGCCCTGAGCTCCATCCCGGGCACAGCCATCCCCCAGGAGCATTCCCACAACAGCCAGGAGCCATCACAGAGCCTGCAGCTGGGGGTAAAATCTCCTCCCAGCCCATAATTCCACCCAAGAAAGGAGGGAGAGGTGGAAATGCAGAAGGAGCTGATCCAGCCTCTATTCCATGCTCTCTCTGTCCCACTTTCCCATCATTAAAATCAGAATATTTAACAGGAAAAGTGATGGCACAAAACACCACAGAGAATTCCTTAAAGATATGAAGTTTGTGATTTACCTTTTCTTCAGGATGATGATCCCTAGAGCCATGCTTGCTATGAGAGAACCCTGGGGAAGGAAAAAAAAAAAAAAAAAAGGGAAAACCAAACCAGGAGGTCAGAATTCCCCAGACTGGGATGCTCAATCCAAGGGGACACTGCAAACTCGGTGTGCTGGGTGCCAAAACACCAAGAGAAATTCCAGGTTTGAAGCAGGAAAACTGACAGGGAGAAGGAACAGCTTCCTTAAAATGGGATATTGGGAAAATTCCTGCCCTGAAAGGGGTTTGCAGGCCTGGCAGAGCTGCCCAGGGCAGGGGTGGAGTCCCCATTCCTGCAGGGATTTCCAATCCCTGTGGATGTGGCACTTGGGGACATGGGGCAGTGGTGGCCTTGGCAGTGCTGGGAATTGCTGGACCCCATGGGTTTAAAGTTCTTTTTCTGCCTCATGGATTTTATGATTCTGAGTCCCTTCATCCAGGAAAAAATGAGAAAAAGGGAACAAGGATACTGGATTGGATCTCCCGGCCAGGGGACTTCTCCTTTTCACCAGAACGTGGCCAAATCCCACTGGTTTGACTGGGAACAGGAGCCCAGCTCCAGGGATTGACTGCAGGACCAGAACCAGCCCTGACAGCTCATGTGGGACAGATCTCCTCCAGTGTGGGCTGGTTTCATCCTTTTGAACCTCTGCTGACTCCAGATATTCCACCCCCAGGATGTGCTGTGGGAATACAGCTGCCATCAGGAGATTTTGTTATTCCCAACAGCAGGGCCTCCATTTCCTTGGGTTTGAAAAGATCTTTTAGCCTGGAACTCATCCACACTGAAGTGAAGATTCAGTTTAATGATTTTTTTTTTTTTTTCCTAAAGCAAAGAAATTGCAGGTGCAATTCGGCCAAATCCCAAATTCCAAATCCCAAATCTCTGTTCAAGACCAGAACGTGAATTTGGTGGCAGGGAAAGCTGGATCCCTTTGGCCAAGCAGAGTCTTGGGATTGATTTTGTCACTGTCACTTCCTCCTCACCTTTGGAATTCCAAAGCCTGTCTGAGCCTGTTTTTCCCTGTCTGTCCATTCAGCTGGAATTTAATCATCAACACCATGAAAGTGAGAGCTTTGGAGTGAAGCTGCTCTCTTCCCACCAGCCGGAATTCAGGATTTCCACAAGGCGGGTTTTGGAGCTCTCTTTGGTGGAAGGACACACAGAACAGGGATAATTGCAGCAGAAACGATGGGATGGCAGC